GATGGTCTTAGGTGACCCCTGTGAAAGGGTCGTTCGACCCCCAAAGGGGTCCCGACCCACAGGTTGAGAACCACTGCTATATACCATTCTGAACAAATGGTTGCTCAATCTGTTCTTAGAAAACTCCGGTTCCGAGGTTCCCTCAATCGTTCATTGTGAACGTTCAGAGCCATGGATGTAATGTTACAGGCTAACTCTGCCAACTGACAGTAGTTTGATCCTGACTGGTTCAAGGTCGATTCAGCCTTCCAGCCTTCAGAGGGTGGCAAAATGAGGATCCAGATTGTTGGGGGAAATATGCTGACTCTAAATTGCTTAGAAAGGGCTGCAAAGCACTGTGAAGCGGTATATACCGTGTTTCCCTGAAAATAAGACAGGGTCTTATTTTCTTTTGACCCACGAAATAAGTGCTTGGCCTTATTTTCGGGGAGGTCTTATTATTTTTGAGGTGCAGGAAGCGGTGAGTGTGGTTACCTCATGGCTGCTGCTGTGTTGCAATATTTTCATGGAGGGCTTGTTTTTCGGGGGATGTATTTTAGTGCATGCGCTCAAAAACCCGATTGGGCTTCTTATCCAGGGAAGTCTAGGTGATAGTACTAAGTGGGAAAGAAGGAAGAAGGAAGGAAGGAAGGTTACTTCCTGTAACCCTCAGCCAGCAAAAATGGAGCTAAGGAGGGCTGGCCGTGGCCCTTCCGAGCTCCGTTTTCACTGGCAGAGGCATTGTGGGTCGGTCCCTCACTGTTTCCAGGACAGCCACGGGGGCCATATCTAAGCACCCCATGGGCTAAATCCCGCCCCTGGGCCTTGAGTTTGACACCCCTGGTATAGATAGAACATTCTGCCCCAGATGGCTGGGTGGGGTATTGCAGCCCCAGTGGAGAAAATAGTGGAATATTTTGAACCTATAAGACATACTGTCCCTGGTGGTTGACATAGGTACTGCAAGCTTCATAAATAAGGTCTATATCAGTGATGGTGAACATTTTTGCCATTGCGTGCCAAAAGCGGGGGGAGCGCAGGGGGGTCATGCACGGGCGTGCCCACACCCATAATTCTATGCATGTGACCCCCCCAGGCGCATGCACATGTGACACCCACCCACCCCCGCGCATTCACTTGCAACCTTCACCCTCCCCCCCCTTTTGGTGCGCAATGGCACAGTGGGCCCGTTTTCGCCCTCCCCAGGTTCCAGAGGCTTTCTAGGAGCTTGGGGAGGGCAAAAATGGCTTCCCCCCCCCCCAAAGCCTCCGGAGGGCAAAAAACGGCCCTAGCGGCAACCTGGAAGTTTGGGAACGGATTTTCAGCTTACCCGTAGGGCTGTTTTTCTCCCTCCGGAGGCTTCACAGAAGTCTCCTAAAGCCTCCGGTGGGGAAAAAACAGCCCAACATGCAAAAGTCCATTCCAGAACTTCCGGTTTGTGTGTTGAGTTGTTTTTTGCCCTCCGGAGGGGAGCCTCCAGAGGGTGAAAAATGGCCGAAAATGAACGCCGAAGTCAGCTAGCAGGGTGTCCGTGAGCGCAGGAGCTGACAGGGCAACACCCTGCGTGCCCCTAACAAATGGCCCTGCCTGGCACAGGAGGGAGAAAAACAGCCCAATGGGCAACCCAGAAGTCCATTCCCGAACTTCCGTTTTTTTGTGTTGGGCTGTTTCCGCCCCTCTCCAGGTTCCAAGAAAGTTGTGCGCTCATGTGCGGTACAGAGGAGGGGTAGGGGGTTACGCATGCATGCGCAGAGGGCGAGGTGCAGGGAGGGACATTAAATTATGGGGATGGGCATGTGAGCGTGTGCAAGGGGAAAAATGTTCGCCATCACTGATCTTGGATTTACTGCTGGCTTAACTGGCTATTGCATACCCAGCCAGTCGAAGAAGAGGGCAGTTATTGTCATTATGATGATATAATGATTAACAACCTGTCAGGCCCCCAAACCTCTGAGTACAAATACTACCTTTATTGTAAGTGTAAGCATTTCCCTTTTCCTTGCCTGTTATAAAGGGGTGGATGGGTGGAAATCCCCAGGAGGGGAAGGTGTATTCCAGTAGCATAAGCCCAGATATCACATGTGGGAGAAAGAAGGTGAGGGCAGCCCCTCCTTAATAATTCCCAGAGTATCCTGTAGATGCAGATAGTTGAGTGTTCAGTCTAGCAACTGTCGTAAGTGTGAAAAACAGTCATAAACTGGGGAATTAATAAGCTGGCTGGGGAATTCTGGGAGTTGAAGTCCACCAGGCTTCAAGCTGCCAAGGTTGGAGACCCCTGTTTTAGAACCTCCTTCCATCCTCTGATTTGCCTCCTTATGGGTTTTATTGGCTGGTTTTTCTGACATTTGAGGCAGGATTTTAGACTTTGCTCTTACCGGCCAAGCTATAAAGACTTTTTTATGCAGTTACTCAAAATTGTGCAGTTGTACTAGGCAGAAAGGTGATGCAGTGGCTCAGTGGCTAAGATGCTGAGCTTGTCGATCAGTTCGGCGGTTCGAATCCCTAGTGCCGCGTAACAGAGTGAACTCCCGTTACTTGTCCCAGCTTTTGCCAAGTTCGAAAGCAC